GGTTTCACCCTCTCCAAGACAGACCTGTTTGTTTTCTTAGCGGTCCACAGTGTGTGGCCAATACTATTCTCCAGTAACACAACTCAAAGGCATCAATTCTTCTCCTGTCTTCCTTAGTCATTGTCCATCTCCCTGTGAAGACCATATCCTGGATCAGGCACCCCTTAGTCTCTAGACTGACATTGTTGCTCCTCAGTACTCTGGAGAGGTCCCTGACAGCAGATTTTCCCAGTGCAGTTTGTCTTTTGATTTCCTGAAAGCAGTCTAGTATTATTTTTTTCATAGCTTAATTTTAAAAAAAATTTAATCCATCAATATGAACTTTTTAAAGCATTTATTTGGAGTATGTAAATTTGTCTAGTACTTCATCATGCTTCTGCACCAAGTTCTTTATCTTAATTGCAGCAACAGAGAAACAAGTATTTGGTGGTTAATAGATTTTATTTTTTCAGAGCTCTTCCTCTTGACCCATTGATCTTGGGCATCGAACTTCTCCCAACTCAGTTTCTATCTCCATCAACAGGTGTCCTGGTGGTGCAACAGGTGAGCACTCAGTTGCTAAGGCCAAGGTTGGTGGTTCAGCCTATCCAGTAGCTTTGTCGGGGAATGAACTGGTGATGTGTTCTCATAAAGAGTACAACTGATGAAACCCTGTGGTATAGCTCTGGTCCATCTCACTGGTCTCTATGAGTTAAAATCTAGTTGGCATTAAATAACAGCAAAAACGCTTATTTGCTTCAGTGGAAAGTGATTTTAAGTTAATGGCAGAAGAAGAACTCAGACAAGAAGGGAGAGAATGATCGCACCACTCTAAGAAGGTAATCAAGACCACTGAGTGGTAGAAATTATCCAATGACCAGACACTTTGCTGTGCAGATTCTCAACAACCACAAAATAACAAACAGAAAACTTTATAGAGCTCAGTTGTAATCTGAAACCTATAGGGTTTGCCCTGGGTCAGAATAAACCCAACAGCAATCGTCCTGCCTGGGTCTCTGCTCCCTGTCTTGGATACAAATCCATTTCCAGTTGAGTTTATTCCAATTCATGGTGACTCTATGTGTTTCAGAGAAGAACTGAGCTCCAAAGGATTTTCTGGGGCCCTGGCTTTTCAAAATTACATTGCCAGGCCTTTCTTCCACTCTCCCTAAATGTGGGTTGTGAGTCATGTTGTTGTTAGTCTCAACAAGTTGTATCTGTCTCATAGTGACTATATACAGTACGCTGCTCCCTGTCCCATCCTCACCAACATCACAGTCTTTGAGGCTGGTGCAGCCACTATATTTATGTATCTTACTGAGACTTTCTTTTTCTCCTTCACTGGCCTTCTATTTCAAAGGAGCTCTGGTGGCCTAGTGGTAAGGAGCTGCGCTGCCAATCCAAAGGTACAAGCTTCCGAGCTACCAAATGCTCTGTGGGAGAGAGGTGGGTAATCTCCTCTCATGCAATTTACAGCCTCTGAAAACCCACTAGAGGGTCAGCTGTGAGTCAGTTCCACCTCAATGGCCCATAACAATGATGGTTTTTTCCAGCATAGTGTCCTTCTCCAGAGATTGGTCCCTCCTGATAAAACATCCCCATAGGTGAGACGAAGTCTCACTAAACTATGCTCCTAAGAATAGTCTGGTGTCCTTCTCCCAAGTAATGCAAGTTGATTCCTCTGTAAATCCATGATATAATCCTATTCTTCATCAAGAGTATAATTCAAAGACATTCATTCTTCTTCAGTTTTCTATATTCATTATTCAGCTTTCACGTGCACAGGAGGTTAATTGAAAATACCCTGACGTGGTTAGTCTTCCAAATGCTGTCTGTACTTTGCAACACTTTAGATAGGTCTTTTGCAGCAGGCTGGCTCCACGCAGTATCTCCCTCGATGTCTGCATGGCTGCTTCGCTGGGCGTTGATTGTACAGCCAAGCATGTAGAAATCTTCTACGGCTTACTTATGATGTGTTTTCCTGACTGGTCCTGCTGTGAGGATTTCAGTTTCCTTTGTTTGGGTGTAATCCATCCCTGGAGGCTTTGTTCCTCATCAGAAAGTGCTTCAAGTCCTCTTCACTTGCATCAAGTGCTTGAGGAGAGGGCCGGAAGGAGACTGTGAACATTCGAGTTCCTGCCAGGCTGCGTGTGAAGGCGGGCCCGGCCTGGCCATCTCAGAGCAAAGCCCCAGTCTGGAGGACTCAGAGCCACCCTTCCTTTGCAGTGGCCGCTTGGAGGGCTGCTGTTGGGTGACCAATTTGCATTTCACCTCAAGGCCTTGCCTTGAATGGACGAGCCTCTGATATCATCTTAGGAAACATATGGAAAAAGTGAGCTTTGTTTGACATGTAGCCTCACCTCATCAGCTGTCAAATCCTAGCCTGCTTTTCAGAATATCTTACTGTGGGAGAACTTCCTGGAACTTCTGCATCCTTCTCCATGGGGAAATCAGCGAGCATTCAATAAAAACAGAGTGGAAGCGTCAATGCTCTGGGGTGAACGAGGGGACCCACTTAACGTGAATGGAAATCAGATCTGTCAGCGGAAAATGCACTAGCATTAAAAAAAAAAATAATAGAAACCTTAGTGTGCTGGGCTCTGTGAGGGCTGCAAGTGCGTTGCCCACCAGCCTACCTTTGCTGACTAATTTTGCCAGCCCCCGCCCCCTTTGCAGCAGCAGCCGAGGCAAAGAAAGAAAGAAAAGTCTGGTTACTTTAGTTCACAGCATAAGCTCTTTCAGGGGAAGGGAATTAGGGAGAAAGGAGTGAAAAGGAATTAGGGAGAAGAAAGGAGTCAACTACCTTTGAAAGGGGCTGTTCTGGGAAGAGGTGATAGAGTCCCCCACGGCATCATTGTGAGCCTCCACACGAGCATTGTGATGGTCAGCTAACACGCGAACCCCACACCCCATTCACAAGCGACAAGGATCGTGTGGGAGTGATGAGATAGGTAGAGCTGGCCCCTGCGGCTGGGGGAGGGGGCCGGGGAACAGAGAGCTCTTTTTCCTAATTAGCTGTTTTCATACAGGGAACGCATGACCCAAACACAACCACCAACTGTGTCTTTGACACATACGGGCAGGAAAGGGGGGTGTGGGGTGGGCTTTTGTCTCCCGCAAATTCTTTCAATGTGTCTGTCACCCCAAGCTGCACAGCCCAACAATGAGTCGGATGAGAGGAAGACCGTTTCTGATGGTCAGCTAACAGGTCTCAGAGAGGGAGATAGTCAGTTTCAACCCTTTGCAGGGCTGAAAAATGTGGTACAAGTGACACGGGGTTAAGGACTCTTTGCTGTCTAAAGTTGGTCAGGTTTATCCTGGGCTTGAGTTTCCACTGTGTTAAGATGCTGTGTCAATAAAAAAAAAAAAAAAAGAAAGAAAAAAAAATACATTTTAAGAGGGCTTGTTATCTTAGTAATAAATCTAACTCATCCATAGAACCTGACTTATTCTAGTGTCCACATTTCCTTTGTCCTATTGGCTCGTGACTTAGAAAGAACAATTGCATTTTGGAGCTCATGGCAGAACAAATTCCTTTTTGTCTAACGAATGATAATAGAGGGCGTACTCAGTTTAAGAATCAGGATGTGGGAGAACAGGATAGTTGCGCTGTCCACGTCCCATATTTTATGAGACATTGTTGACTTTGTGATTTCAAAGCAATGGGAAAAAAAAATCTCAGTTTTCCCCAACTACTTCCTTAAGTGATAGCAGTTTTACAGAAATGGTTTTCCCAGAGCTGAGGGTACCATGTGTTAATACTATGCTGACTGGAAATCATCAGAATGCCAGCCCTGATGGCTCTGCCCAGGTACCAGCCACCAGAGCCTTTCCACATTCCAGCCAAAAGAAAGGATTGCCATGTGGAGCCGTGGTGAGGGCAGGTCCAGAGAACTTCCCAGTCAGGAGAATAAAAAGAAATCCACAACAAAACACTTCTCCAATTGGGCAAACACAGGCTTTGGCGGGTGGGACTGTTTGGGAAAACTTAGTGGCGTCTTTGGTTTCACCACATTTTCACTCGCTTGTACAGCACAACTGGAAAATGGTGACAAGACCATAAAAAGCGAAATGGAAAAAAGAATCAAATAAAACTCAGAACAGAAGGCCAGAGCTGATCGGCTTAACCAGTGATAATGAGAAACGAAACCACATCTCTCCTCGTGAAGTAATACACAGAATTGAAGCAATTACTCAGAGCATTTATCAGCAGGGCCTTGCTGAAACGTGTAAGGAATGGAGGTTTTGGATGGCTGGATGCTACCTCAAAGACCCACCTCACTTCAGCGAAATGGAAGCGTGGCCTCTGAGGGATTCCTCTGAGAAAAAAATAGAAAACTCCCGTACGTGGCACACAGCTTTCACCCAAACAGTGGTCAGGTTGACACCGGCAATGGCTATTCTCAGCACTACTGTGAACAGTGATTGATTCCAAATCCTGTTACACCTACAGCCTACAGAGATTAATTGGGTGGGGGAGGTTTTGTGGGGATAGTGAAAACCCAAGGAGTCATTCCAGGCAAAAAAAAGGAGATAAATGTGAAACCCACCTTCTAGGAACCTCACTAGGGCATGCTTTAAGAAGAAAACTGTAGGCATTTGACAATCCACCCATTGGATGTTCTACTGCTTGTCTACTGATTCAAGTTAAAGTTACTGGGTGGGCTACCAGCATTCAGAAGAGGCATTGACTAATTGCTTAGAACATGAGACTTCTAGACTTTCAACCAAGCTGTGTGTAGATGTTTAAATAGAGTCATGGAAGACCACATCCCATTGAAATTCTGCAAGTTGGTTACAGGAGAGCAATCACCAGCATCATGTACCATCACTTTTGTCCCCAAACAATGTCACCTCCCCCTTGGACAGATGCGATTCAAGGTGAGGTCCCGGTGGCCTCGGAAACAGCACCTAAGACTGTGGCTGACTATCCGAGGAGCAGACTCCATCAGCAGAGCTCAGGAGAAAGAGATTAAGCATAGGGGTGGAGGTAGGATGGCGTGGCACAGGAGTGGCCTTACCAAAGCTGGGGGCGCTATGCAAGGTCATGTCCCGGATTACCCTCGTGCCAAAACAGGACCACATCAAGAGGAACTGCTGGGCCACTTTCTTCAGGGACCCTTGTCTCTTGGCAGCAACCTAAAAGAAAGTGAATGGTCTGAATAATTAATGGCCAACTTGGTCTTTCATTCATTATTGCCTGCTTGCAAAATGCAGGCTGGCTGATGGGTCTCCAAGTTCAACACCATGGAACAATGATTCCCAACCTTCTGTGTTTAGTGACATAAACATTCTGAAACATGAAGACTTATGCAGAGGCGCTGGTTCAATCAGGGGTTGGGGCCTCAAGAGTCCTGCAGACTGCCACACCCATCTTCTCAGGAGCCCCCCCCATTACTACCATCAGAGCCTCTTAGAGCCCTAAGCCTCCATGGCTGTTGGGGATTGTGGTGGTGGTGGTGGTACTGTGTTTTCCACCTATTCACAAAGGACAGTGGTGGGCTGCAGCTCCAGCTCACGCACCTTCACGACACATCGGTCCACCATGGTGTCCAGCCACTCGATGTAGGACTCGATGGGAGACTGCTCCTCCAAGAGATGGTCAAACTCCTGATACACTGTCAACAGAGAAGAAGGCCACATGGATCACTGCAGATGTGTTTAAACAGAGGCAACTTTTTTTTTAAATGGAAGTTTACAGAGACTTGGGGTTTCCAGTCATTCATTGTTGTACTTTTCTCCCTGCCCAATCCTCCCCCCACCCCAATTCACTTTTCTCCTTGAGGAGTAAGAAGAAAGACTCTTTTATTGCTATGCAATCCCTCCCCTCCCCAAGTTCACTGCACTGTGCAACCTTTGTTCTGGATCCTGGGATGATAATAATACCTAATCATATATCCTTTTTAAACCGTTCTCTCCCTCATCTGCTGCAATGCAGTATATATCATTCCTCCCCTTCTTCTTTGTCTTCCCTCAACCGCAATGTCAGTCCTGTTTCACAATAGTGGCCCTATACAATATTTGTCCTTTTGTGACTGAGATATTTCACTCAGCATAATGTCCTCTAGGGTCATCGACTTGGCATAATATTTCATGAGTTCCTTGCTTTTCAGTGCTGCATAGTATTCCATTGTACGAATATACCAGAGCTTCTCTATCCATTCATTTGTTGATGTAAACAGTTGCACATCTTAATAGAGCAAAGAGATAAAAGATATTTTATGGAATAAAGTGTTTCTCTTTGCAGCTCATTCATTCGACATTGTAACCAATGCCCTCAGTTACCTTCCCATGCTCCTCCTCTTCCATCCCAGCTTTGCTTATCCTCAGATTACTTGTCATTCTCCAGCCAGTCCTGCTTTCTCAGAGCCCCTGACCTTTTCCTGGACAGCTATTTCTGCTTGGACTGCCTTTAATCTCTTCTGTGTCTAGTTCTTCATGGCTCAGCCAAAATGACACTTGTGTGAAATCCATTTTATCCTAGCTATTCCTCTTGTCAAAATATTGATGAGCAATGATGTCACTTTGAGGAATAAGGTGCACCCATTTCAGGCCATAGTCTGTTCAATCGCTTGCTACACTGCTGAGAGCTGGCTACTGAATAAGGATGACAGAAGAATTGATGCCTTTGAACTGTGGTGTTGGAGGAGACTACTGAATATCCCATGTAACAAACAGCTATATCTTGGAGAAGGTGTGGCCAGAGTGATCATTGAGGCAAGGATGGCAAAGCTTCATGTTTCATATTTTGGGCATATTGCTAAGAAAGGCTACTCCTTGGATAAAGACTTCTTGCTTAGAGAAGTGGAGGGATGGTTGCAGAAAGGAGGACCCTCAACCAGGTGGACTGACACAGTGGCTGCAGCAATGGGCTTGCTTGTGTCAGAGACTGTGAAGATGGAACAGAATAGGACAAGTGTTCAGATCTGTTGTTTATAGGGTCGCGATGAGTTGTACTCAACTTGATGGAAGCTAACAAAAACAAGCCCCCTTTTCAGCAGAAGAATTCATCACTCCTCCTCTCTGCTCCTGGAGCACTTTATTATCTGTTGTTGCTGTTAAGTTCCATCAAGTCAACCACAACTCATAGCTACCCTATGAACGGTGGATCTGAATCTGCCCTCTCTTGACCATCTCTGACATACTCGAGCCCACACTGTGTCAGTCTGTCTCACTGAGGGTTTTCCGTCCCTTCGATGACCCTACATCTTTCCAAGCATCATGTCTTTTTCCAAGAACTGGCTCCTCCTAACAGCATGCTCAAAGTATGTGAGAAAAAAATTTCACTACCCTTGCCTCCAAGGATATTATCTATATTTGACCTTTATTGTGGCACAAATGGCACTGTGCCATGGGCTCTAATGTGTCAGGAAGTGTGAGGATGGCACAGGATAGGACAGGGCTCATATCTGCTGTTCATAGGGTCGTTGTGGGTCATACTTGACTCGACAGCACCTAACAACACCAACAACAAGCCTCCAGATGTGTGTGTGTGTGTGTGTGTGTGTGTGTGTATCTGTCCATCCCACATCTGTCTTTGGCTATTACAATTATCTAGTGATATGGCTGTTACATGTTTGTATGACTGAATGAATGGGCAGAGGTACTATTGTCTTGTTCTCTGCTTGATTGTAAGACATGTCTGGATCCTTCAAATGTTCCTGGGTCACAGATGAATTGGGCGAATGGCCACGCAGCCTCTCAGTTGGAGCTTACTAAATGCATTTTAGTAAATGAAGCCATCTCTCTGCCCTTCAGTTTTCTCTCTAGTAAAAAAATGGGATAATCGCATCATTTCCTAAGCTGCCTTCAAGTTTGCAAGGCAGATAACAATCTGGAAGCACTCTGTAATCTTGAAAGCTTGTTAGAAAATAAAGCCTTCAAGGGAGCTCTGGTGGCCTAGTGGCAAGAAGCTGCAGTACAATCTCAGAGGTGCATGGTTCGAATCCACCAGATGCTCTGCTGGAGAAGGAGGGACAATCTCCTCCTGTACCAGTCAGATCCTACTTGGCAGTACACATAAAAAGTAATAAAATAAAACAAAACCTTAAAGGAACATTAGTTTTTTTAAAAAAAAAGAGGAGAAAAAAGAAAAGAAAGTCTTCAGTGTGGTTATCTCTAATTTGAGATCATCTTTTTGCATTAGGCCTTCTTTTTTTTTTTTTTTAATTGTTATATGTAGAGCTCAAGAAATCAAACTGTAAGGATCCACAGATTTTTCTTTCATCTGAGCCGTTTTTAGTCTCTCCTTTTATAGGACTGAGCTGCTCTAGTTTACTTAGCTGAAGATGGCCACAAGAGAGGTTTTAGACTAAGAAAGAACTTTTTAAAAAATTTTTTATTTTTTTTTAGAAAAAACTTTTTAAGAAAACAGTTTCATCGATGTCTCTTCTTTTACAGCTGAGGAAGCTATGTCTCCAGGAGATAAAATGACTCGGTTAGTAGCTGGGCAGGGACTGGAAACCAGCTCTCTGGATTCATCTTTCATGTTCATTCATTCTTCCTAGCACCGTGTATTCGGACCATTTGTGCTGCATCATTAATTCTACGGATGATGACGATGGTGATGATAAAAAATGCTTCCTGTCTAGTTAGCATTTATTGAGTGCTTGCCCTGCTCTTCTAAATGTTTGGGTGGGGGGTTTTTTTTCTTTTTGTTTTTTTCTGGGTGGTACTTGTTTAAGCTCAAGACCTCCCTAGATTATGAATGACCTGAGGGCAGGGACCACGTTGTGCTCGCTGGTTTTACACTAGAGTCTGGCACCTAGGACAGTGCCTGATGCAGAATGCTTATTTAACTGCTGAATGAACAGATAGCCCAGGGAGGTGGCTACTGTCTTTACTTCCTATTTTAGAAGGAAGGAGATTGGCCACTTTCTAGAAGTTTCATAGCTAATGAATAGCAGCAGCGATATTCGAACACAGCCTGCCTCACATACTCACCTCAACATCACTGTATTGTACTGTTGTCAGAGCCAACTCAACAGCACCTAACAACAACAACAACATACTTGTTGCACTCTGTGCACCAGCCACGTGGCCTCTGTCTCCTTTAACTCCACATGTCATCCCTATTTTACAGATAGGGAAACCAAAGGGTCAAAGCACCATAGCCAGAGTTTGAGTCAAGGTCTGTTGGGCACTCCAAAGCCATGCTTTTACCACAGAGCTATTTAGGGATCATTCTCATCAGCACATTCAAGAGCCACGGTGTACTTTTGATTTAAGGGAAACCAAGCATTCCCAGCTAGGTGTACCATCACTGCTCTGACAGCCATCGGCCAAGGGCAAGTTTACAGGCTGGCCCACTGGTTTAAGCAAAGGAGAGTGCAGCCCCTGTAATCATATCTCCAGGTGTCTGGTTGGGAGGTGCCTTCAGACCTTGGTCTCCAGCCTTCCCTTACTCATCTCCTTCTTCCCAAAGCTTCATCACACAGCATCTGCCTCTCTGGAAAGACTCAGCACTCTTGTGAATTGCTTGTTCAATGTCTGATCTGCCTTTGTGCCGTGTGGGAAGGGCAGTGTCCACTTCGCTTGCTGTCTTTGGCCCAGCATCGAATGACCTGCCAGCTGGATGGGAAGGAGTCACATCCTTTTTTCTCCTAGGAGGAGAATGTCATCCAAGCTTGGAGGGTACTGCCCTCCAGGAGATGACATGACCTACTCAGTTAGTGACAGAGCAGGGACTAGAACCTTGTTCTTGGAAGGTCTTCATCTTCCAGTTCTCATAACATAGTCCGTATGTTTGACATATTCGACCTTGCACTGAAGGGAGAGCTTGAAGAGGGAAGCCCTGAGCCATTCTCTTCCCTCCACTGGTGCAGCTGTAAAGACCTGCATTGCCGCCTGGTCGCTCTGAAATCCAACCTCCCCTTTTAATACACATAGAGGAGAGAAAAGGGCGGAATCTAACACTGCTCAGAGCAATTTACAGGACCCATTCACCTCTCTGGACCTGCACATGATTCAGCCCCCTTGTCACAGCTGGCCAGTGCGAGGCCTGGAACAGCATCGGTGCCAAGAGGTGTGGCTAATACTGTCTGGGTGTTTGGAGGCTGCTTTTCCGTTCATCTTCTAAGCAAGGAGCAGGGGAAACAGAACAGGAAGCATGGCTGTGAGGACTCAGAGTGTTCCTGGAACCTCTGAAACGAGCCCACATTTTGTTATGTTCTCTGTCCAATAAATAACGCACATGCCCAGTGGGGAAAGGGGAACTAGGCTAGGGTTCAAGGCCAAGACATGCTGCTTCGTGGCTGTGTGACCTTGGGTATGGCTCTGAGTGCTCTGAAGCTGACTTTTCTCATCTGTCCAATGGGGGCGATCCTCATGGTGTTAATGAAGTGATCAGAAAGGGTCATGAACGGGTGAATGCGACCTAAGGTCTGGCATAGAACACACAGTCTAGTAGATGCTGAAATATTATTTTAGCAGTAAGTAACAAAAAATTAACAGAGAGAAATGACCATGGGGCAGCAAGGAAGAGAGGGATTGAAGGACTATGTGCTATTCCGGGCCAGCTTTAGAAATGACCTCAAGTGGAAGGGTGGCAGGGGTTACCAGAAGCTGAAGAAAGTCAAGGGTGGTGTCTGCATTAGAAGAAGAGGAGGCTCAGGTGACCGGTGAATTGACCAGGAAAAGAGACCTCCAGGAGGGTCTACCCAACACTTGAACTTCAATCTGCTTTTAAAAAATTTTTGGATATTGTTAAGAACGTGCACGGCAGAACATGTTCTAGTTCTCCTGTATCTATACTTATGTCCATTTGTGTTTGAATAAAAGCTTAGTGGTATTAAGATCTTGCATAAGAACATCTTAAAACCAAAACCTCTCCAATGCTGAGTTGACTCTTACTCAACAGCTCTGTGGGCCAGAATACAGCTACATCATAAGTGCTTCCAAGGCTGGAAGCTCATGGAAGCAGACTGCTGTGTCTTTCTCCCTTGAAGCAGCTGGGGCGGGGGCAGGGGGGTGTGTTTGAAAAACTGACCTTTTGGTTGTCAGAGCCCCTAGAAACATCTTCTTGTTAAGTGCTATTGAGTTGAATACAACTCATAGCAATCCTATGAGTAAAAGACCTGAACTCTGTTCTAGAACTACCATTGTTTCTAAAATGTTCATTGAGTTTCCAAATGCCTGTTGTGAAGGAAGTGGATGCCAATTCTGCTTCCAAGCCTATCTTATTCTGGAAGCTCTACCAACCCCTGTCCACCATGGGTAACCATTATGGCATTTGACATAGATGCAGCACAGCGTTCAGTATCATTTCAACCCCAAGTTATCTCAGTACAGCAAGTTGACAGACAAGTGCTATACCAACTTAGAACAATGTTTTTTCACAAACACAGTCAACAGGGGAAATCTGAGGGGCGAGGTGCTCTCAGAAGAACAGGGTGGGGTGGCCACTCTACAGGGCCCACATGTGCCATTCCCACTCACACAATCCCAGGGTGCATCCTTGTTCATAGCCAAGAACACAGCAGCTGGAATGTCCCTGGGAGATACTCTCAGGACGTCCCTCATCAGAGAGCTGCTGACTCTCACCCTCAGACTCCTGTTTCCAGTGGCCAGATGCAGGAAAGCTGACCAAGGAAGGAAGCAACCTGCACATAGAGACCCAGGGTTCCTGGCCTGGGGGATGCCCTGGACAGCAGACTCCTGTGGACATCTGAGGAACAGGACAGAGGTGCTAAAGAAGTTGGGGTTCTCTGGCCTTTTTCTGCTAAGAGTAAGAAATAAATCACCTGGTCACATCAGAATGATATTGAGAGCCGTTTATCTACAGCATCTACTTCAGCAGTCAGTTCATCCAGGGGACAGGACACCCCCAGAAGTAAGGCATCATTCTCACTCTCACCCCCCTAGACATTGAATAAGATTGAAAGTCCCACTTGGTGAGGAGTGGGCTGACTCACAGGATTGTTTCTGCACTGTTTGTTCCAGATTGGCATACCCCGAGAGAGGCCACACTTTTGTTCTCATTTTTTTAAAATGTCACCTCCATGGAACTATGCCTGGCATTCAGGGTCACATGTGGGGTCTTTTGGGTGTCATTGTGTGCAGTCCCATTGCACCCAAACCCTTCCCCCCCCCACCCCCCAGCAGTGTTGACACATGTCTTCTTAGGTCAATTAGCCTTCCATCTGGGCTGGCCAATTTAATGGAAACAATAAGAAAGAGGAGATTGGGGAGAAACTAAGAGGGGGTAAATAATGTATTCTGCATTGAAATAGATGAGGGAGAGAGCTGTTTAGGGGGAATATATGATTAGGTATTATTGTCATGACACGAGTCCAGAATGAAAGCTGCACAGTAGAGTGGACTGGGAGGGTGGGGAGGATTGTATAACAATGAAAAAAAATTTTCCCCCCTTAAAGTAAAAAGAAAGAAAGAGGGGATTCCAGGAAGGAGGTCTGGGCAGAAATGCAATTGAAATATTTACTGAAGATTTGTGGTGGTGGTGGTGATGGTGTTTTAAAATAACAGAACAAAAACAACAAAAAAACAAAATAACAGAACAGACACAACCCCTGGTGGGATCTCTTACACTGGATGATGAGCTTCCGGTGTTCATCTCGGGAGTCTTCCATGGTGTACAGGGTTTGCTTGGTGATGCTGTTGAGATCCACGTTCCTCCAGTCTTCCAGCATTTGGAACGTGATGTCTGCGCTGTGGATCACCGTTCGAGATGCCTATAATCCAAGCCAATTAACTCATTAGCTGGCACGTTGTTAGATTAAAGCCTTTTCAAGTTATTTCCTCTTAGGCCTCTGGTTTAATGAATCTGGTTTAAAGAGCCTTGGCTCTTTGAAAAACAGCTTGGAAACACCAGTCTGAGCACCTCGGCAGCTCCTTCCAGAGCTCAGAAAACCTGTCCGCTGTTGCAGCTGGCGACTCTCTCATCTCTTTTTCAATGACAAGATGCCAAGGTGGTGTGGGTCAGACCAAGGTCTGTTGTTCCCATCCCTGGGGTATTGACCTTGTGGAACAATGGGATGAAGGCCAGAGATCTGTCAGCTTTCTGTAAGTTTGTAGGAAAGGAATTCTTTGCTTAGTAACTCCTGTGTATCTTCAGTGCCTAAGAAGTGACAGGCCTGGATTTAGGAATGTTTCTGCTACATTGGACGATGACAGATTTATCACTCATAAATACGCACACACACACACACACACACTGTGGCAACAGACCCTCATTAATAGAACTTGCATTTACAAGTTGGAACAATATTCACAGTGGCGACAAAAACAAAGGAAAACATCGCTAGGATGATTTCCTCTGATGGCATGCTTCAAAAGTGCCTTCAGTAAAAGGGAGATTTCAGTTACAAGTGGATATTATAAGACTCCTAGTGCCCAGGATTTATCTCACATACTTTGGGCACATTATGAGGAAGGAGGGGAAAGTTGCTGGAAAAGGGCATCATGCTTAGCAGAGCAGAGGGTCAGCAAAAGAGAAGAAGACCCTTGGCAAGAAGGATTGACAGTGTCTGCCACAAAGGGGCTTAAGCATGGCCAAGATCGTGCGGTTAACACAGGACCAAGCCGGATTTCATTCTGCTCTACATACTGTCCATCAAGCTGCTTCAGTGGCACTTAACAACAAGGTACAGACTGTCCAAACACAAGCAAACTCTCACATAACTGGCTATCAGGACTCTCTGAAGGCCACAGGCGGCTACAGTACGGGAGCTGGGTCAGTCTCTAATAATAATAAAACAACCCAGTGTGAAGGTCAGGGATTCCTGATTAAAACATAAAATTCACTGTCACCTAGTCGGTTCCAACTCCCAGTGCCTCCAAGAGCTCTGGAAGATTGGGTGGCCTAGACCTGTCGTGAGCTGTTCTGCTGGCCCAAACATGGTGCCTCTCTGGTGGTCCGAATCCCCCAGTGGCTCCGGGTGGTGGTGAACGAGGCTGAGTAATCTCCCCTCAGGTGCTTTACAGCCTCTGAAAACCCAGTGAGTGAGGGAATGAATGACTCTCCAGGACAGGGCAGAACTGCCCCGCAGGGTTTCCTAGGCTGAAATCTGGATGGAAGCAGATGACTACGTCTTTCTCCTGTGGAGCGGCTAGTGGATCCAAACCACTGACCTTCTGGTTACTGGCTGAGTGCTTTAACCTCTGCACCTCCAGGACTCCTTTACATCCAGACCTACCAAGTTCAAATTCTGGCCTTGCTGCTGGCTAGCTGATTCATTGGGGGGGTTGGGAGGGGCAAGCAAATACACACTCTCTTAATGTCCATTTCCTGTTCTACGAAACAGGGCTGGGATTGAACCTACCTCTTCTGGGGGCAGCTACTGTGCAGGATTCCCTGAGATAATGTTTGACAAGAGAGTGTAATCAGGTGACTACAACATTCACGTGACTGTCTCTGCAGTGACTTCATTGGCCCTCAAGGCCATCCACGTGGTGTCCCCACTGCAGGGAACACCCTGTCAGTCCCTCCCTAGACCTTCCCCCACCCCAGCACCCCCCATATCAGGTAAGCCTGAGTTTGAATGTCACATCCTTAAAGAGGCTTTCTTTGGGTACATTCTCTGAATGGGACCCGGATGCTCTGTTTTCTATTTCCACTCCATTTTCTTCCTACTCACAACTTTTAATTATTTTGTTAACTTTGCATCTGCTGAGGACAGGTACCATTAACCATAGGTGTCTGGCATTCAGTAGGCCCTCAGGAATGGCTGCAATATGAATGCCAGCCTCCTCGCCTAGTGTATCTGAAGGTCTTGGACCTTGGGGCTGAGCATTTGGGGGTGAGTTTTCCTTGGAATGTCAGCTAGTGGGACTTGCTCTGTATTGTAGTCCAATAAGTTGAGACCTGAAGAAGTTCTGTGTGGTTTGTCCCCAGTGCTAACTCCAGTGTATGGTGGGAATGCGTTTGAGGGCTGGCTAGGGACGATGGAAAGGCAGCACGTGCTGGCTAAATTACGTACAGTCTTAACAAGGAAGATGGAGAGGAAGTGCACGCATGTATGTGTGTGCACATGCTCTGTGAGTGTCAGCATGTCTGTGGATCTTTCATCTACACACACACTGAAAGGGCAAAGGCCCTTCCCTACACTGAGCTCCAGAGGTGGTGTTTTTGCATGCTCTCGAGTCAGAACCGATCCATAGCTGACCCTCCAGTGGGTTTTCAGGGACAGTAAATCACACTGGAGGAGATTGCCCATTCTTTTCCAGCAGAGCAGCTGGTAGAGTTGAACCGCCTGCCTTTGGGACTACAGTGCAGTTCCTTACCACTAGGCCATCGGAGCTCTGTGAACCCCAGAGGGAGGCACTCAAATCAGGCTTGGGCAAAGAAACCCAAGGTCAAGTTGGTCAGGGATCCCGGAGCCTAGTAGTTTCTTTGTTTGACAAACACTCATTTTCTCCTCTGAATCCCAACAATGCGTCCATCCCTGGCCTTCCTCAGAACAGTGCCAAGGAATGAGCTCTGCTACACACCCAGGGACTTGGAAGGATTGCTTCTGGTCTCCAACCTGTCACATTGTCAGGGGCCACACAGGAAAGCTCATGTGCATGGGAGGTGGAGTTTCTTAGCTCCTGGCTCCATGTAGAACCTTCCTTCAGGCCTTTCTCCACCCTCTCCCCCCCTTGACCTTGAGGGACCAGCACCAAGCCTAGACACATGGTGGGGGGGTTGTGTGCAAACGAATGACCTGGCTGAGTGAGGTGAGCATGGTGCCCTGCGAAGGGGGTCTGGCCCGTCCAGCTGATCACTAGATCACTAGCCTAGAAAACGGGGCAGCTCACACATTTGAATTGTTTGCTGTCATCTTCCAGTTTTAAATATTAGCAGCTGCGTTGAAAAGAAAAAGTTTGGACCTATGCCAGCTAATAACAATAACCACAGTGCATCTGAGGGTAGAGTTGGCCTGTGGCCACCACTTTGTAACCTCTGCTTTAAGGGAATTAATTCTTCAATGTAATGATAATGGCTGTCTAGTCAGACTTCAATCATCCTCATTAAAGCGCAAAATCAAACGGAAGTTCAAAGTTCTGTACTATCAGGCACTAGAAATACCTGCAGGTGTTGCCATAAAGGAGGTATGGCCAGGGAGTGGGGTCTTTCTCCTCTTTACACCTTTCACAATGTTAAAAAAACATTATAAGGAAGCTCTGGTGGCCTAGTGGCAAGAAGCTACACTGCAATCTCAGAGGTACGTGGTTCGAATCCACCAGATGCTCTGCTGGAGAAGGAGGGGCAATCCGATTTGACGGTACATGCAAAAAAATAATAAAATAAAAAAAATATTTTATAGAGAGTGCATGCCACTTATATGCTAAGAATAACACAAATCTGAAAAAGGTAGGCAAAGATTTAATATATGACCTTGAACTCTTTCAATGAAATCAATCAATCTGTCCTCCTTAGCTCTGACTCCTTTATCTCAGCAGTTCACAATCTGATGAGGTTCTGCCCACTGCTGATCTGGCAATGCCTGTTTACATTCTTGGAGTCCCTGGATGGTGCATGTGATAAAGCATGTGGTTGCTAACCAAACGGCTGGAAGTTCAAGTACACCTAGGGGCATCTCTGAGAAAAGACCCAGTGGTTTATAACTGAAAACGCAGCCATTGAAGACATGCTGGAGCACAGTCCTAAGCTGATGCACATAGCACCACCAGGAGTGGGTGTCAACTCAAGGCAGTGGGCTGACTGTTTGGATGTCATTGATTGTGGCATGACTTGTGGGGTGGGAGGGAGGGAGCACTACTTGGAGTCTACTGACGGGAGGCCAGGGAGGACACAAATCATGAGTAGTGCATAGAACAAGCTTTCACAACAAAGAATGACTCATCGCAAAATGTCAGTAGTGTTGAGGCTGAAAAATCCTGATGCAAGTTAAAACCCAAACCCACTGCCCTCACGTGGGTCCCCACTCACGGTGACTTTCCATCATTGTGTTTCTGAGGTTATAAATCTTTACAGGAGCACTCTACCCCATCTTCCCCCTTTGAAGCAGCTGGTGGATGCAAATTGCTGACCTTCTTGCCAACAGCCCAGCACATAACAAATTGCTCAATGTCCATTCAGGTCAACACAATGTTCTAGATCTATCTGAGACATCAAGGATGACTTATGTCACAAGCCATTTTGTATTTTAGTTGAGTCTATTCAGTGATTGACTGGTTTTGTCTCCTCTCTGTGGAAATTCAACATATTAGTGCAAGTGTCCTGTTGGCTAACCAACCACGCCAACAAGTCCAAGGAATTGCTTTTGTGGAGGTGACTTTCATCTGTAATGACTCAATGGGGGTTAAAATGCGTAACATAAGATAAGGTACCTGGCAAAGATGATTTAGTGACGTTTGCCGTCTCAGAATTTGGGAGAACCTTCTGGACACTGTAAGAAGAAAAGAGTTCATTTGAGAGGTTTCATGTTTTATGATCCAACTTCAGGGGCAAATTCCCAGAGTGTATGCTATCTTATTTGCCTAAAGTTTCCCCACTGTCTAATCTTTTCTTTTCTTTTTTTTTTTAAAATACACCTGTTGGCCAAACCCCGCATTGGACACCTTCCTCTCCCAAGCTGGACCATGACTATTTCCCAAGGGATACATATTTCAAAGTTGGGATACATATGTCAAAGTCACCCACATGCCCCACTGGCAGGTGTGAGAAACTTGGGTTGTCAATCAACCGTGAATAAAAGCAATTATTGACTTGTCTTTCATTTTTGCTAATTGCAAGCTCAGTCACTTCCCTCCATATACTAATTGCAAGAATCGAATGAGCGCTTTGATGAAGTCCCTGAAAAAAAGTAGTGTTTTTAACGGGAACCCATGATTGAGCCCAAGTGGTGCTAGGGATGCTTCTAGATGAAACAAATGCCAAGCTGAATGTTCACCAGGCCTTATGCTTACAACCTGCCATTTTCCCAAAGGCTTCACCTAATCCATGTGTTCGGTGTAATTTGGGAAACCTCCTGTTGTCTTTGCTGATCTTAACTGAGAGAAGCTAGTAATGTAAAGTGGGGTAAATCTTACGTATCCTTCTTTCTCCCAGAGTCCCGGGGTTGGTGCTTGGCTCACCCTCCTTACACATTGCCCAAATACATTCCCGAATAACCTGAAAACAGCTTTCCCCAGGGACCCACAGGTGGAAGGTCCACACACACTTCCTCACAGGTTTGTTTTGTCACCGTAATTAAAATTAGATGCAGGGCACTCCTCTCATTAATTTGTAAACTGGTCAACGAATAGCCAGAAACTTCTCTTGGCTTATTCTAATTTGGACTCGGGGCTGGCTTGGTTTGAAAAATAGGATGTGGGCTGGAGAAATGGAAGGGTGGGGGTGTGTGTGTGTAAAGTTTGAGCAGATGAACTTCTAATTTTCCAGGCCGATCAATCGTTAATCCTTCTCCTTAATTACTTTTTCTTTAACTTTGTGATGTGGAATTTAGTGCTCGTGAAAAGAAAAGAACTGAGAGCAGTGAAATAAAGCAGGCTTTATCAATAGGTGATGGGCCCTGCAGGCAGCCTCAAAGCGGGTCTGAAAGGGCCCCCATTGCCTGTGGAGAGAAGGTAATTTGATCTCCTTTATTTTCTTCCTTGGCTTGTACTTTGGACAAGAATAGCGGGATGTATTCAAATAAAGCTATAAAAAGCTTGTATCTTAAAACTCTGTTTAGCTTAAAATAATTTTATCTTTAACATCAACAAACCAGTCTTTCCCCACAAGTGTCATTAGAAGTACAGGCCTGTCCTGACAGGAAAATAGAGCCCAGTCTTCAGACTCAGAATGAACACTGGTGAGGGTAGGGGTGTGGGGACACTCAGCAAAGCAGAGATTCACAGTCCCAGCCCCCTTATGAGAAATATTAATTTGGCTTTCTAATTAGGCAGAGAAGTAAATATTGAACCCTTGAAGCCATTTTTCATCTCCTCCTTTTGTTAGGCAGGGGCTCTGTGGAAACCTCAGCCTCTCAGCATCAGATGCACTTAACTCTTGACTCCCCGCTTCTGCTTCCTCACTGTGGGGGCAATGTGACTTTGGGGTAGTTTCTTTGCCTTTCAGAGCTTATAGAAGAATAAGGATACTTTTTTTCTCCACTACAAAGGTGGAGTGAGGATTAAATAAGATCAGGAGGATGGTGGTCAGAGCACAAACTTAGGTTGTCAGACAGACCTGGGATCAAATCCTGCTCCCACCTGCTGCACTACCTCTCCTAATCTGCCCCCTTTTCTGTAAAAGGAGCGGTGTGTCACCCATAATAAACATTTTGTGAGGATTAAAGAAATTAACGTGTGCTTAGCACTTAAGGCTATTTCTCGGAGACTGACATCATGCTTGGGAGGGAGGAGAGCCAGTAAAAGAGTGGAAGACCCTCACTGGACTGACACAGTGACTGATGAGATGGGCTCGGGTATGTCTGAAATGAAGAGGCTGGCACAGGGCTCATTATTATGAGTTGTATTTGACTTGACAGCACCTAACAACAAAAATGTGCTTAAAGTAACTCCTACCGCTTTGCAGGCAAACAGTAAATAGTGGATATTATTATTTTATTAAAAACCTATGTCAATGTTTGACCCTAAAATACTCTTCCTCCCTTCCCCTCTGTTGCCAAGCCCACTGCAGAACTCACGCTCAAACTTGATGTTCCGCAGATTTTCTGGGAGGTCGTGGAGAGCCACTTTCAGCCAATCATCTAACTGCTTGGCAAACTTTCGGATCACCTGAGTTAAGCTAGAAGGAGAAAGGACACATGGTTAAGGGGTGTGTGACAATGATGCTCGGTCCTCCCCATGGGACCTGGAGGGCTGTATTTCCCCGTTGTGCTCAGTGCTGCCCACAGCAGCAGAGGCCTAGTGTGCTGGCAAGCCCGAGCCCAGCAGAAAGCTGGCACCTCTGTAAAGAACAGGAGTGGAATACACACCCGTGTAGAAGTTACCAGCACTGGTTGACCAGGGAGATACGGCAGGTTCAGTGGGGGCAGAGACCCACAGAGAGGCTTGGCTAAAGGGAATCCTTCATGCTTTTAGAAGAGCTTTGTGTGAGGGATGGAGATGGTGAGTAGAGTGCCCAGGGCAGTCGTTTTGCGATTGTCCTTGCTCCCTTCATGCTGCTGAAGCCCAGTCTTGGTCCAGCCCCTCTGCCTGGACAGGAACCCTGTCCGCAGCACCTGGCCATGTCTGCCCATCCAGCCTGAACCCAGCCTCACCAAACTGCTTGCCACTTGGATGGACCTGGAATACTCTGTTGCAACAGAGTCTTTTTTAAGGCAAACAATCCTAATGTGTGTGTTGAAACCAGATCTTATTTGTAGAGTCAAGACTTAGTCTGAGGTGGGGTGGGAGGGGTGGAGGGAATGGGGAAGAGATGGGACTTTGGAGGTGAAAAGACACTGAATGCCATTTCTGGGCTCTCTGGTCATCTAGTGGGAAAGTGTTACACTGCCATCCCAAAGGCATGCAGTTTGACTCTACCAGCTGCTCCATGACAGACAGACAATCTCCTCCCATACGATTAAACCGTCTCTGAAAACCCACTGGATGGTCAGTTAGGAGTTGGTTCTGATTCAACAGTACACAAAATGCAACCATTAGAATCGCCTGCTTTTAGCTCTAGGTACAGTCTCCACCATCAATTCCTCCTTGGCCATGCCAGCTGCAGGGACCTCTCCTACGTTGACTACCCTCCTTCCCTTCTACCCACAAGTCCACCTATACTCCCCTGGTTCAGCCTCCCATCAGCTCTCGCCATTCATACCAAAGCCACCAACCTCGCCCCGTTGGGCAATCCTGTTACATTTCTCCAATCACTTACTCTTCCCCTTCTTTAAGTGACTCTCTCCAGCCTTCTCCAGGACCTTCACACCTCCCACTTCTCAGAGAAAACAAGCAATACAGGAAAAATGTCATCAGTATTCTTCTACCTGTATTGAATCTTCCTGGTTAAGGAGCAATCATGTCTCTTGGTGAAAGCCAATGTCCCATCACAACCCCTCCTGTCTTCTTTACATTATCTTACATGATTAACACTCCTTTCTCCTGTTGCATATTCAACTCCTTCCTTCCTTCTCGATTATTCCCTTTATTACTCTTATTTAATATATTCAAGGATGTCTCTCCTTAAATTAAAATAAAACAAAAATATCTTCATTCCTCAACTCTCTCTCTCTCCTCAAGCAACATGCTCATATTCTTCCACGCCATGCCCCTCGGTCTAAATAGATCTCACCCAGGCAGCAAGCTTCCTCCAAGACACCAGACTCAAAGAAAGCTTTGTGGTCCTCATCTGGCTGGAATTCTTGGCGGCCTTCCATTTTCTACCCACTTCTTCCTTGGGAAAACACTTTCTTCCATGAGTGTTTGCTATCCACCATTCATTTTGTTTCTCTTCAATTACTTCTGATAGTTACCCACTTCTATGCTTGAGTTCAAGTCTGGTCCAGGAGATAACTCTTCTCATCATCATTTCTTCCTTGAGTAGTTTTCTCAATGCACCGTCTGCACTCAGTGACACATCTGTTGCACCTTCAGAGTTCAAGATCAAGCTCCTGCTCCCCTTAGGAGCCCCAAAGGCATGTCAAGCTCAATACTCAGATGAAATCCATGGTTCCCCTACTCTACCTAGACCTGGCCATTTTCTTGTGTTCCCCATTTCACATTCTGGGAAGTTTCTGCTTTTAATTTTTTGTTGTGAAACATTTCAGATATGACCCAAATAGACTTAACAATAAAATAAGGCTCCATATACTTGTCACTCACTTTCAGTTCACACTTTGCCCTTTATTACCAACGTCTGACTCTTGACAGCCACATGTGTGTCAGAGAACTGTCCTCCAGGGTATTGTCAACGGCTAGTTTTTCAGAAGCCTCTAACCAGGGGTTTCTTCTAATGTGCCTCTGAGTAGATTCACATCTCCAACTTTTTACTGACACCCAAATTTATTAACCATTTGCAGCTCTCCAGGACTCCTTCATCTCGCACATGTTCCTTGAATACTGCCAAGGTTTCATCTAGATCACACATTGCTTCCAGTTGAAACTGAATTCATAGCTGACCCTCCAGCAACTTTTCAGATGCTGTAAATCGCATGGGAGGCGATGTTCCGTTTCTCCCAGGAAACTTCTGGTGGCTTTGAACTGCCAGCGAAGACACACCACCCTTTAGGTTATCAGCACAACCGTCTACAGACTTCCAGCCTCCTCACTCACTCAGTTCACCCCACTGGATTAGCAACTTTGATCTTGACATCTATGTAAATAACTTTGGATGCTGGTTCAAAACAGACTACAGCTGGACAATGACCAGAGATTGTTGTAAAAATCCAGGTAAGAGAGAGTGGTCAGGACTAGTGTGGTAATAGTGGCACTGGAGAGAAGAGGCCAGATGAAAGCATTTTTAAGACAGAGTTAATAGCCTCTCTACATGAGTAGTTGTGGGTTTGTAGAAGTTTGAACAGTGGTCCCTCACAGGTCAGGCCAACCTGGAACCTCGGACTGTTTTTACCAGATCTTATTTGGGGAGAAGGTCTTTGCAGATGTAATGAAGTTGAAACCGGGCAGCACTAGTGTGGGCTCCAAATCCAATGATTGGGAGCCTTAAGCCTTATAAAAAGAACAGACCCAGACCAGAGGGAAGGAGGTCATATGAAGACAGAAACAGAGGTTGCAGCGATGCAATGACAGCTGTGGGATAACAAGAATTGCCCGAGCTACCAGATGCTAGAAGAAGCAAAGAAGCACCTTGCACTGGAGCCTTCAGAGAGGGAGAGAAATCATGGCCCTACTGACATCTCACTTTCAGAGTTGTAACCTCCAGAACTGTTCACTTATCTGTTGCTTTAAGTCATTCAGTTTGTGATTCTTTGTTACAGCAGCCTTGGGACACTAATACATGGTGGTACAAGGAAAGAGGGAGCCAAGTGTGTCTTCCTGGAAAAAGCAGGGGGTAGGGGGAAGGATACGTGTATTCTCTGAGCTAACAGATAATCTGGGGTTTTATAAACAGTCAAGAACTCAACTATTAACTGTAAGATTGGCGCTTCGAAACAACTCAACCTGCTCCTGACACAACACAGCCTTGAAATTGCATCGAGCAGGTCTGCTGTGCAACACGTGGGCTAACCATAAGTTGGAATTGTCCTGACAGCAGCTAACAACTGTGAGTGACTGAGACTCACGTTAGCCCCATGGGTGCCAGAACTGTGCTCCATAGAGTTTTCACTGGCTGGTTTCCCCTAGGTACCCCGAAGCCAACATTCTCTCTCTTTGTGGTCAAGTTCTGACCCATGGCTGGCCCCTCCAGTGGGTTTCTGAGGCTGTGAATTGCACAGGAGATTATCTGTCTCCTCCACCTGGTAGATTCGTGTTAGCAGCACAACTCCCTATGGACTGAGCCACCAGCTCCCTAGAATGTCCCTACTTTTGATTGGCAGCCCAGACTGTAGCCATTTACACTGCCCACACGTTCTGAATAATACGTAACCAAAGCCAAATCTACTGCATCTGGGGTGCCCCAGACTCACAGCGACCCTACAGGACAAAGCAAAGCTGTCCTGCAGGATATTCAAGGCTGTAAACCTTCACAGAGGCACACCACCTCATCTTTCTCCTGTTGAGCAGACTGTGGATTTGAATCACAGACCTGTTAATTAGCAGCTGAAGGCCTTAACCACAGTGCCACCAGAGCTCCTTGACTGATACCTACGTTGTTGTTAGATGCTGTCGAGTACAAGTCATAGCGACCCTGTGAAGAGAAGATCTGAACCCTGTCCTATCGTGTGCCATCCTCACAAGCCCCAACCCACTCAAGTCCATTGCTGCCATCACTGTGTCAATCCTCCTGGTTGAGAGTCTTCCTGCACCTTTCCAAGCATCATGTTCCTCTCCAGGGAATAGCCCATCCTAGCATCAGGCCCAGCGTCTGTGAGATGAAGCTTTATCATCTTTTCCTCCAAGGAGCACTCTGGCTGCACCTTCTCCAAGACATATGTGTTTGTGGATACATACAAGCCACTTAAGAAACTTAAGTACTGAGTCAATCAAAAATATTGCATGTGAGGCGAGCTCTGGTGGTCTAGTGGCAAGAAGCTATACTGCAGTCCTAGAGGTGTGTGGTTCGAAACCACCAGATGCTCTGCTGAAGAAGGAGGGACAATCTCCTGCTATATCAGTCAGATCTGATTTGACGGTATACACAAACACACACAAAATAATGAAAAATTTTGAAAAAAGTGCTGCATGTGTAATAAATCCAGATTTATTATAATTCCAAGTTGCTAGAATTGGAATCAGTTATTACTATATGATATCCAATTTGTAAGTAAGAAGACACCTAAAATATTTGATTGCTTTTGCCAGAGAGCTCTGGTAAAGAGTTGCCCTGCCAACTCAAAAGCAGGCAGTTCGAATCCACCAGCTGCTCTGCAGGAGAAAGTTAATTTCATTGTGCGTGATTTAAAAAACTGTGACTGAAAACCTGCTGCGAATTTCAGCTATAGGCCTGTTCAGACTTGATGATGCATATCACACACACACACACACACACACACACACACACACACACACCACCACCACCACCACCACCACCACCCATAAGCTGGGGGACAGGCTATGGTGACATCTGCTTCGAGTTGTACTGCTAACCCTCAGGCCTCATGTTGGCAGTGGCTTGAACCCACCAGCAGCTGCCCAGGAGGAAGATGGCCAGTCACCCCATGTTGTCCTTTGCAATCTTAG